AATAATACTAAAAAAAAAAAAATCTAATCGGTTTATTACTGATTAGATAATTAAATTCAAATAATGTTTGATTTGTTCTTACGTTGATATGAAATTCCCAAATCGATGATACCATATGCTATCTTGACTAAAGCCTGCGACGTTTATAAGATATGATCTTCAAAGTTTTCGATGTAAAAAAAAAAACCGTAGAAAAAATCCTAAAGATCTTGAATAATAATCCAATCTTGACATAATGTTCAAATTTGATCAAATCTTAATTCATTTGGAGAAAATATTTTAATATTTAATACAAAATATCTAGTTTGAAAACTGATTAGTAAAAGAAGTTTGCTCTGTTCTTACGATGATTTAAGGTTTCCGAATCATTGATGTCTTCAACATCGATGATACAGCTACAACCCTGTCTCACCTTAAATCGTTGTAACGAACGTCTCAAACAAAAAGTTGGACTGACTATCAGTCTCTCTCTCTCACTCCCTCTCTTTTTAGTGGGTGGGTGAAATTAAAAAGAATTTTGAATGCCTTGATGCTTATGATAAGCAATCACTAACGCAATTGCTTCTAAACACAATCTCATTTTCGAAATTCTTTTTATTTATTAATATCAAATTTTTAATAAATATTTATTGTTAAAATAATCAGTAATATGTTTAGAATAAGTTTCTGATTTAAAATTTTCTTCCGTCGCTTCTTGTAATAATCCAAGTTTAGCTAATCTATCAGCTTGTTCATTACCATAATTTCTCCAATGACCTCTAACATGAATCAATCGAACCGTACCTATTCTATTATCAATAAGTTTTTTTAACCTTTTGATTAAATCTTGATTTTTGACTGGTGTATTATTATAACTCATATATCTATTTTTTTCCAATTTTTCGACCCAATCTTCAATTATATTAATTACATATTTACTATCTGTCATTATTTCCAAAAGTTTTGTTTTATTTTCACAAACTTCAAGAGCTCTAATCACAGCATAAATTTCAGCATGATTGTTAGTTTGTTCTGATCCAGGTAATCTTTCGCTTAAATTATTAGGATTATCATCTTTTCAAAATACTCCAATATCTGTTTGAGCTCTTGTTGTACCGTTATTAAATGATGATCTATCTGTCCAAATTTGGATTTTACTATCGTTTAAAATTACAGAAACTTCATGTTTTCCTTCAATAAAATTTTGAGCTTCGGTACGAGTAGGGAATTTTTTATACATAGCATTATGAAATTTATTAACTTGCACTTTGCATTCATCCCAAGTTAAATATATTCCTGTTTTACGTCCTTTTCGTACAGCATAATATCCTGGTTTGGTTTTTGGCATCTAAAAAAAAAAAAAATTGAGTCAGTCGGTTGGTCGATCGATCAACAAATAGTCAATCTAGTGAGAGTTAGTATAAAGTGAAGAAAATAAATTTCTAAACAAAATACAGTTGGGAGCTCTCTCACCTAGAAAATTGCACAAAGAAAAGTCTAATTGGTCGATTTCAAAAACTATTTTAGTTCTTAAGGAAAATAATAGGATTTATATATATTTTAATTTGAAGAATAAATTTTGGAATTCCTCCGTAACAAGTTTTTTTGAAAACTTTTATGGAAGCAAGTTCAAGTTTGTGAATCTAAGAGAGCATTGTAGTCTTGGCACATGAACAAATTTGTATTAAAATAAAATAAATAAAAAAAATACATCCGTTAATAAACTATTGAGTTTTTTTTTGTTTCTTTCCACATTAATTCTTTTGAAATAAGGTATAAAAATAAATTGAGGTCATGAAAATGAGTTTTAACAAAAAATGGAACCGAGAATTATGGAAGGTGAAATAGTAATTGCAGAAAACTCCAGACTAACAATAAAAGTTTATGAATTAGAACAAAGAATACGTGCTTTAAATTTTGATAAAAATAAATTGATTCATAGAGTTGAAGAACTTGTAAATAAAAAGGATTGACTTGAAACAGATAATAATCAGATTCATGCAGCAAATGAGAATCTAACGCAATTGAATGACGCATTAAAAATTGTTTTGAGAGATGCTGAAGACATGCGTGACCATTATAAAGCTGCAAATCTAAAAGAATTTGAAGAATTTATTTCGAATTATATTTTTGGGTTGTTCGATAATATTGGAACATTGTTTCGATTTGATAATCAATACATAACAAATATTGTTAATTTGTTGAGATTTTATAATTTCTTCCAGGTTCCTATAGTTTTTCACTATGTTAAGATAATTTATAGAAAGTTTTTGTTTCCGATTTTTGTAATCCCTTATGTGAATCTCACTGAAATGAAGAGAATTCGTGTGGTTGAAGTGTTATTTGTAAACATTGTTACAGTTTATTTTGGACTATATTTACTTTTTTTTGTATTTTCGAAATTTGACAAAGAATGTATTATGTTTATATTATAAATAACAATTATAATTTATTAAAAATTTAAAGAATCAAAAAACAATAAAATAAAAACTAAAAAATTACAGAATAACCATTTCTGTTACCAGTTTTCTTATTGTGAGCTAATTTAAAATCTATCACTTGTTGCTTAGCTTGTTCACTAGTTTTTTTTTTGTTAATATAAAACTATTTAATTTTATCTTTATTATTTTCTCTTCATTAAAATCCCCAAGCTTTAAGTATTTTATGATAATAAATTCCATTATAACCTGAAGTATTTGTATTATAAAGTTTACAATTTAACATATTTTCTCGTTGTGTTGTTTCTCGAAGATTGCATTCATGATTATCTAATCTGCAATGATTAATATGGTCTATTATTTTCTAATTTGGTTTGATTAATCGATGAAGTAGTAAAAATTTTTTTTTATAATTTGTTCAAATATAATATATATTTTCACGTTTATAACAATACCAAGTATATTTTTTCATTATGCTATAATTTTTGATATTGATCAGAAATGTGATTCCCATTTTTTGTGTTTTAACCTCAAAATAATCAATTTTATTGATAGGAACTGTTCTAATTCGATTATAACAATTATTTTTGTGAGAACCTTTTCCTCGTTCACCGAAAGTCCAAAATGTTTTGATCGTGAAAGTAGGGTAAATCTTTTTCCATGATGAATTTTTAGATTCAGTTTCCAAAAACAATTTTGTCGATTCAAACATTTTGTTTTTTAAATTAGTTAATTTAATATAAAATTAATTTTGTGAATCTTGTAGTTTTGCTTTGGTGTTTTTGTATTTGACAGTATTTGTTATGTCTTTCAACTTGGCCTCGTATTGTTTTTTGTATTCGATTACATGATTTAAAATATCGTTATTACTTTTAAAACGTTTTCCAAACCGTTTTCTGTGAATTTTATTATTAATTTGTTTTTTGTAAACCCAAGATTTTATTGAGATATCATAGTATATGTTTTCAATTCCAGACTTTGCCATTTTTAAAAAATAGTAAGAAAAAAATTGGTCCTTTTATAATTTTTATTTTATATTAATAAAGTTATATGAAAATTTTAGTTTTCTGTACAAACAGTTTTTCCTTTTTTTCTACGTTTTGTCATCTCAGAATCATTAGAAGACAAAGAAGATGTTGAAGCATCTAAATAGTATTTTTCATCATTATCCAAATCTTCAATTACATAATCAATTTTTCCTTCTTTGTAACCCTTGAATTGAATCCTTTTTCTTTTAGTTCTACATAATCTATTTTCTAATTTTCTTTTTATCTCAGGATATACAATTGTATTAACATGTAATTTATTTTCAATTCTATAGTCTGTTAATTCAAATTTATCAACTTGTAAATTAAAATTATGGTTGTAATACCATATTCCATTTTGTTCTTTGATTGAATTATGCTTAGTTATATAACCAATCTCTTCAAGAGTGATATTAGAATTGAACTCAATATCAAATCGAAGGTTGATAAAATTTTCATATGAGCCCTTATGAAAAATTTTTTTTACTAAGCAACAGACACATTTGAAATCACATGGCTTTTTATCATCATTTCTAAATTTTTTATACTCAATGATATAATCAAATCGATTATAGATCAAAGAATATTTTCTTTTGTTTTCTATTTTAAAATCATCTCTACCAAAATACGGTGTATCTTCAGAATAGATATATTGATTTCGCAATGATGTATTCGAAGTAAATACATTTATGAAAGAACAAAAATTTAGATAGCCACCTTTTTTTGAACCATATGTGGCTTATTATTGATTAGTATCAATAGCGTCGAGTACTCTATATTGTAATTATAAAAATCATCATATATGAAAAATTTGTTTTCATCATAATCTAATAAAAATAAAAAACAAATATTAGTTTATTTTTTTTTTTTAAAACATTCTTAACTAATCTTACCTTCAAACCATTGTTTATCATCGTGTGATTTATGATATACATCTGGGAAAATTATTTGTGTCAAATAATCTTTTTCTGTTCTTGAGTCACCATAAATATAAATATTGTATAGAGTAAAACATCTCTTAAATAATTTCTTTCGACTTTCCTTTTCTTTTTTGACCAAGTGCTCTAAATCTTTCAAACTTCTTAACCAACTTCTTGGGAGCAAATCTCTTTTGTTCTTCAAAATATCTTCAACTATTAAATTATTTTCAACAATATGATCAATTCTCTTGATATCCTCAAGTCATTTCTCATCAATTTCATCTTTGTTTATAAATTCATCTGCATTTGATAAGTAGCGATAGTTTCCAAAAGCCCAGAATCTATTTTCCTCACTTGATAATTCTGAAGCTTTCCAACGTGCCAAGATTCTTTTCTCAATACAATCCTTGTTGCACACATCACAGATTTTTTCTTTCTCCTGGAAATTACAGCGACATTTTTTCTTATATTCGGAATCCTTGCATCGATTCTATTTTTTTTGGCTATAATCACGATTCTGATCTGAATCACCATTCAAAAATTTGGGAAAATTCATCGCATGATGATTAAATAATTTCTTTACACTTTTTATAGTATTTTGTTTATCAAACTGAAAATATGCCTGCTCATGAAATTTTCTTTGGTAAGACACGTTGATATTTTATATTTGATTTTTTACAATAAGAACATATAATCTCATTGCATTCGTTAAGTTTACAGCATTGATCACAAGAAGTTAGCTTACAATGCCAATGTTGTTTATTGTATCTGTCACATGTTGGAACAACACCAGTTTTAAAATACTCTACTTCACGTTCATGTTTTTCTTTTTCGGACATGTTTTTCTTGCATTTGAAACAAGTAGGCAAGGAATACAATAGTAGATAGTGGACATAACGTGTCTAAATCTATAATTACTAGACATAATTTTTGTTTGTTTTTGTTTTTTTTTGGACTTCTGGTCTATTTATAGTAATTTTAATTACTGTGCCGGTTTTCTTAATTAGGAAATTTAATCAGTTCAAAGTCACATACCATCAAACAAAAATCATATTTTACGAGAAATTTTATTATACAAATCGATTTTGTGATAATAATAAAAAATATTCATCTATCAAAAAAACATATAGTTTAATAGAACCATTTTATATGTGTATTATTATCGCTTTTCTTATTCCGAATTTTTTCTATTTACAAGATTAACGTATTTCTATTGGTCATCATCTGATCGTCATGTGATCGCTGATTGTTTATTTATTCGTTTTTTTTTGTTTTTTGTTTTCTTTTAGGTGTTTGTTTTTCTTACACCGTAAGGCATATTGCATATGAAATAATTCTGGATTCTGTATAGAAAAATAAGACCACATATAGTTGTGAACGGCCTGGCTATTAATACTATATCCCCTTCTTGCATTTTAGGATACATCTAAGGTATAGTGGTTAATAGTCCTCGTACAGGGTTGTAAATATCTGGCCGGTGCATAAAGATCAATAGGTGCCTACCCCTTATCATAATTGGCCTATTCTTCTTAGAGCACCTTTTGAGGCTATTGTTTTTATTTCTGTATAAATGAGGATTGTTTTGGTACAGGTTGGTGCTTACGAATATGTCCCTCACCAGAATCTCATGATATGTAGCTTCCAAGTAGCGAGATTCGGAAACTTACATTTTTTGTAAGGCTAATACATATCACTAAAAAATAAAATAAATTTTTTTGTTCTTTAAAAATTTCGATAGTTTTTAAAATGTAATTTGTGAAAAATTTTATTAATAAAATAAATAAAGTCATACTATGAAACTACATGTTTT